CGAGCTGAATGAAGCTCGTAATTGTTGTCCTCTGTATTAAAAGGGGTCGAAATCAACTTGTAAAATATACTTCCCTTTTTAAAGGGCGAGTTGAGTGAAACTCGTAAAATATATTTTCCTTTTTAAGGGGCGAGCTGAGTAAAACTCGTAAATATACTTCCCTTTTTTTAAAGGTAAACTCATTCAGCTTAAGAAAGCCTACTCCCCCAGCTCATGAAGTTCGAGCAAATCTTAAGAGATCAACCAAAAAAAGGCTGCCCAACAAGGGTTAACCTAAAAAGAGATTGATTTATGCAAAAAAGACGTCAAGGGTTAACCTAAAAAGAGATTGATTTATGCCAAAAAGACGTCACTCCAAAAAATACTTTGATGCTTGACAAGCAAGCACGAGAATGGGGGCAACTGATAGGGATAAAAATAATAGGCAACTCAAAGTCAAAAGAGAAATAAGATAAGGGTAAATGATTTATCTTACCCAAAATCTCTATTAAATCATAAAAAATATTTGGTTACATATGGTAACCAGAGTTACCATTCCTATAAGAAGGGAAGAATATCATCTTGGATCAGGGAGAATCTCGCTTCAACAACTACTACCATTAATGTTTCTATAAAAGAAATGATTAGCCAACCTAAAAAGGGACACCATAAATTTTATATGTAATCCTTATCGGATATTAGATCGTCAAGTACTAACTTGATCGTCGGAGTGCACCCGGCTGGCACCACACCGGTCATCACTTCTCTTGTTTTGTAGGAATCGCCACCGACTCCGGAGCTGGCACCACACCGGTCATCACTTCTCTTGTTTTGTAGGAATCGCCACCGACTCCGGAGCGTGTAGATTTTTGGCATCAATAATATCAATCACCATTTTCAAATTACCTAATAAAATTTAAATTACAAATTACCTAATAAATCTAATTTCTATAAAACTCTAACACAAAATATAAAATCAAATTACCTAATAAAATTTAAATTACAAAAATAGTTTTTTTAAAAGAGTTTTTATAAAACTATAAAATAATTATTAATTAATATAAAAATTTATTTAAAAAATATTTGTTAATTAATATAAAAAGAGTTTTTATGAAAAAGTGTTTTTATAAAACTCTAAAAATTAGCTAATAAAATTAATCAGCACTTTCTAATTACCTAATAAAATTCAAATTAAAAATTACCTAATAAATCTATACTATTATTAAAAGAGTTTCTATAAAACTCTAACACAAAATATAAAAAGAATATCACCATTTTCAAATTACCTAATAAAATTCAAATTACAAACATAATTTTTATAAGAGTTTCTATAAAACTATAAAATATTTATTAATTAGTATAAAAAAAATCTATACTATTATTAAAAAAGTTTCTATAAAGCTCTAACACAAAATATATAAAAAAAAAATATTTATTAATTAATATAAAATAGTTTTTATAAAAAGAGTTTCTATAAAATTATAAAATATTAATTAATTAATATAAAATATTTATTAATTGATATAAAAAGAGTTTATGAAAATAGTTTCTATAAAATTCTAAAAATTACCTAATAAAATTATTCACCATTTTCAAATTACCAAATACAATTCAAATTACAAATTACCTAATAAATCTATTTTCTATAAAATTCTAACACAAAGTATAAAAAAATATTTACTAATTAATATAAAAAAAGTTTTTATAAAAGAGTTTCTCTAAAACTCTATAAATTACCTAATAAAATTCAAATTACTTATTTTATCTATTTATTTCTAAGAAAACTATGCTATTATTAAAAAAAAAAAAAAAAAACTTTAAAAATTACCTAATAAAATTTAAATTATTTATACTATTATTAAAAGAGTTTCTATAAAACTCTAACACAAAATATAAAAAAATATTTATTAATTAATATATAAATAATTAAAAAATATATGAAAAGAAAAATTCGATAAGTTAAAAAACATTCGCCAAGTATAATATATGTATCTTTTCTTAATATGTATATATATATATATAAATATATATATATATATATTTATAGTGATTGATACATATTAAAAGTGTGTAACTTTATTTCATTTATGTATCAATTGATAATTGATCGGGACTGATAGTTTTGAAACTGTGTACTAATTTTTGGATCTGAAGATCCTTGATTGATAGAGCCATCATAAGTGGTTTATAGAGTTCAATCAACTTTGGCCACTACTTTGGAGTCCGTCCAAAAAAGCAAAACATTACTAATTTAACTAGTCAATTCAAAATTTAAAACAATAACTAAACACTAAATTCTAATAATTGCATTCGACTTTTGGGTAAGTATAAGTTTTTGATGGTCTCCACCAAACCTTTTTTTAATTCACGTGATACCAACTCCTTATTTCAAATACATATAAATAAGTAGGTACATTTCACGAGGTGATATCCACTCCACTCCACTAGAAGGACGTCTAGAGGTGGTGAATTAAGCTCTTCCTGTCCCCCACGCCTCGTTTTCCGCCAAAAGTACTTTTAAGGAATGGTGGCAGCGTATGCAAAGTAGATTTATTTCTTTCACGATAATTATACGAAGGAGTTGTATTTCATATAGAATACTAACACATTTTAGACGTGTGTTGGATATTTCATTTACGTGTTCATAAATAAAAATTTTATTTATTATTTTATTAATATTTTTAAAATTTTTTAATATAAGTTTAATTTAATAATTTTAAAAATAATATAAATATTATCATGACAATTCAAAGTAGCAAAGTAATAATATATATGAATAAAAATGATTACAATAATAACGTAATTTCATTTTGTAATTCATTTCAGTGCAACTTTTAGTATAAAAATTATAAATGAATTAAAATTTTATAATACTTTTTATTTTATTTTATTTATTATTATTTTTGTAACAAGAGTTAAAAATTAGATTAATAAATGTAAAGAGTCGAAGTCTGACATTCCAAAATTCACCGAAAGTACTAACCCATTGGGTTTATACAATAATAAAAATTTATATTATTATGTAGCCGTGTCCATACCATACATGTGTCCTACTTTTTAAAATTTGACATGCCTACGTATTTGTGTCGTATCGTGTTCATGTCATGTGTTACATGAAAGTTAAGGCTTCTGGATTTGAAAGGTTGATTAAATTTGAGGAATTTGTGATTGAACATAAATTTGAGGTGACTTTTCAAGAAGTGTGTTCGAAATGGGTGAAATATTGTTGTAAGAATATTTTGCAAGGCTCCCCAACATAGATTGAGTAAGACTTTTAAGAAATTGTTTGCACTTAAAAAAAAAAATTAAATTTAAGACCTTATGCTTTCCGAGGCATTAGGTCACAAATCTTCTCCAATTAGGTCAACCTGTTGGAGTTAGATAAAACTTAATTATCTAGTCAGTTTGTTTGTTTGTTTGTTTGTTTGTTTATTTATTTTTTTGGATTGAAAGATTGTTAACCAAACCTCAATTAGAACCTAATCCCATGAAATATATGATATATTATTATTAAGTAATAATATCTTTGTGAAAATTTTGATCGCCCAAACGTACCTAATCCAAGACTAATTGACACTTCCGAGTTAACCCAATTTTAGAAAATATGTGGAAGAAGTCAAGGTAGGCTTGGTTGAAAATAAAGGTTTTTAGTATTCTTTCACGGATCTAAGAATTCATATGAGGAGAGCAAGTGAGCCCTTCACAAATCCGTCACTCCTCACGATAGCTTGGGTTGACCGACATCTCAACTCGATTGAATTGTACTTGAAGCACTGTTTGCATAGTTTTAAAACGTCTAAATTCAATATTTTAAATAAAAACACTTTTAAATGGTTGAAAAACAATTCCAAACGAGTTCTATTAAATCCCTTTTACAATCTAATTAGGAAAGCTAAAATTAGAAGACAAAATTGTACGAACTAGAAGGGGCATACATGGGAGGTACAAAGTGGAAACAAGGCAAAGGAGAAGGGGACCAAAAGTCCGGACGAATCCCGGTTAAATCATGGCAAAGCAAAGAGGCTGGCGCATTTTAAAATAGCAAAAAAAATCGTTTAGGACAAATGGATAAATTTAATAAATTTTATGTAAGTAAAATTCATACATGAGATATATTAATAACATCATAAATAATAAAGCAAGTCTCCACTGTTTACTTGGACAGTTGGACTCCAAATTCTTTTTCAATTGAAAATAGAAGTCTCTAGTGGGCCAAGCTCCCTTTCCAAAATAAATGTCTTATTTATTTATTTTATTATTTCAAAATAAGCCTCATACTTCAAAATTCAATGCACTATACTTTAAATATTTTTAATTTACCCCTTGTTTTAAAATTATAAAAGTAATTAAAACTTAAAAAAAAAACTCTTGTAGGCCCCACAATTAAAAGTTGAAAGATTATTACATTAAGTGCTGTGGGTCAAGACAAACTTTTGAACATAAAAAATAATACTTTTTAAAAATTATATTCTCCAAAAACAATATTTTTTACAGAGACGGGGAATATTTATATTGAGGTGCTCTTAATTGAAAAACATATGGTTGTCTTGTCCATGCAATATTGTAGTAATAAATTTACGTCGACTTAGATTATTTAGAGATTTCCGAATCATAATACAACAACCCAAATTATTGTTTAGTCTAAATCACCCATAATAATTGATAATATATCACTATCTATATAGATTATATATATGAGTGAAATCTACGGGAAAGAAGACAGCACCAAAATAATATATATATATGTATATATATATTTTTTTTTGACGTGAGAAGAAAAGCTAAAAGACTATTACATGAATAACTATTAACAGGGCAAACAAACATAGTAACATTAAAAGAACCACAAAATAAGAACAAATAAGACGATTTTAAAAAAACCTAAACAAAAGTTAAGACATGACCGTCGTTATAAGAATTGAAGCTTAAGTAATTTCTGAAGTAGGAGACCGTCCCGCACCCGTCAACTTGGCAATCTTGGTAGGTAAGTACCGGGAGGAGTCAGAATTGAAACAAAACAATTGAAACCAAAGAAGAAAAAACATCATTATTTAGCAGAGAGAGTCACAGACCCTTACATCATACATAAATGATTCTTAATAATTAAACACTTGTGTAGGCAGTGGGACCGAGCCTTGGTGTGACCATAGCCGAAAGTGACACAGCCTTTTGCAAAGCAAGTCCAAAAGCCTCGTCCATGTTCAGCTCACCACTTCCATTAGCCAATTTCCAATCAAAAGAGTGCACCAACGTCCCTAAAATGTACTCCACTAGCACAATTCCCATCCTAGTCCCAGCACAAATCCTCCTCCCAGCTCCGAACGGAATCAACTCGAAGTCGTTCCCGCGCGGATCGATTTTCGACAATTTTCCATCCAGAAACCTTTCCGGGATGAACTCCAGGGGCTTCTCCCAGACGTCGGGGTCTCGCCCGATGGCCCAAATGTTGACGCTGAGCCTGGTGTTCTTGGGGATGTAGTAACCGTTCACTTCGCATGCTTGTGTTGCGATTCGGGGAAGGTTCAAGGGCGTGGAGGGGTGTTTTCGGAATGTTTCTTTGCATATGGCTTGTAAGTAGGGGAGTTTGGGTAGGTCGGACTCCGCGAGACGGCGGTCACGGCCGATGACCCGGTCCATCTCGTCGTGAGCACGCTTCAGGATGGTGGGGTTCTTCAACATCTCGGCCAGTGCCCATTCAATTATGCTTGAAGATGTGTCTGTGCCGGCGGTGAACAAATTCTAACAAGGCCAATAAAGTTAATGACCAACAGGTTCCTCTCAAAAATATTGCTAACAAAATTTAAATTTCTTAACTTTGCTTCCTATTATTGTTGAACACACTGCCAACAAAAACGATTCCTCTTGTTTTCGATTCCCAAACATACCCTATATATTTTTTTTCTACCAGAACTCTTAACACTCGGCCTCCCCTTCTATCATCTAAGTTAGAGCTCATTGTTATATGTAAATTACTAATTATTTGTGATGATATGAGGTCAACAGCAAAGCATGATAACATTTCTTTATACTTAATTTTTTTTTTTTTTAATTGAATTGAAATATTATTAATTGGGCGGCTTGACTAATTTGATGGAGAAAAGTTTACGAATAACCCGGCAGAGGGTCGTCACAGGTGTCGGGGAAAATTTGCTATTTTAGTTGGCATATACACCAAAGTCGTACTCAGTCGAAGGTTTCAAATAGAAGCTGATGTGACCATAAGTAGTTTCCAACTTTGAAAATGATATTGATAATAAATCCGAAAAAAAAAAAAAAAAAAAAAAAATCTGAAAATTTTATTCACCCAACTGTAGGCCCAAAAGAAGAATAAAACAATTTCATTTAATTCCGCTATCTATCTATCTATTTTTTTTTTTTTTTTTTTTCAAGTAATTGATTTGGTACTTGACAACCATACTTTTAAATAACTATATAGTGGAAATCATATTATTTTTATACACTTAAATTTCTATAATTGGATTTTTTGAATTAAAACCCATTAACTAATTAAATAAATTTACTTTACTTGTGAAATCAAATTCATTTGGTGAGATTCCAATTTATGAAGCTTCCTTTCAGTTTACGAAATCCAAGTGGTCTAGTCTGGTAAGTAAGGTTATAAATTTTTGGTAATGTGTAATGTGAAAAGAAAGGAAATGAAAGTATTTTCATGAATTTATTATCATACTATTTTTTATAAATTTTGTTTTTTTATAAAAATAAGGATAAATTTAGTATTAACAAAGTTTAATTAGAAAAATTAATCTTTCCTTCCCTTATCTCTCATTTTTGGAAAAAAAAAAAACTAACACAATCATATATAATTTGTTTCATTCTGAATTCCTCCATTTCCTTTATTTTTCTTTAAAGATTAATACCAAACACAACATATTATTTCCTCCATTACCTTTCTTTTAGTTTCCTTCCAATACCCTGTAACAAAACTGTGCCTCAGCTAATGCCACATTAATTAGTTGTATTGTTATATTTTAATGTAACGTATTAGCATTTATGAAATGACAAGACGTGCCTACTCATCAGTGAGTAGGATCCAATCACAAATGCAATAGACCATAGTTATAAAATCAGGAAAGTGATAAATAAAGATAATAACATTTTTTTTGAAATTAAATTCAATCACCTTTCCTTATCACTTTTTCTAATTTTATTTTGCAATTTTAAACTATCTGTGCTTTTGTAATTGGACTATATCATCTCTCGTAGAATGTCCTACTTACCAATAAGTAGACAAGTGTTGTCCTTTATCGATCCGTATTGTATTCTCGATATTAATGTTGCTATCTATAAAAAGAGGAAAAAATGTTGTAGGACTTACCAATAGTAGTGCTTTGATGTTGGGCATAGTAAGCTTGTCATCACCAGAACTTTGTTGATGAGCCATTACAACGTCAAGAAAATCTGGCTTCCCCTTCCGCTCATAAGCAGAAGCATTGTGCTCTTCAATCATTCTTGACAACAAGTCATCAAACTTCTTATGCAATCTCTTCATCCCACGCTCGATTCCTTGCAGGTCCATCCACGCTATCGAAGGTATAAAATCACCGATATTGAAATACCCCGCCGTCGTCATCAGCTCCACCACCATGTCCTTGAATTCATTCGACTTAGAGCCCTTCGTTTCGAACACTCGCCGGCTCAGTATCACTTGTCCTATCATGTTGGCCATGGAATAGCACAGCATCTCCGCCACCACCACCGGTTCGCCACGGCTGCTCATGTCGTGCATAGTCCGAATCATGTGCCCTAGTTCCGTGACTCGGACATTAGACCAATCATCCAGAGCCTTGCCACCGAGCATGTGAAGGTTACTTAGTTTTCTAAGTAACTTCCACCGCGGTCCATAATCCGCGAACACCATGTCCTCACGGTTGTAGGCGAGGTGGGTGGCGCCGGCGTTGGGTGGACGGTTTGAGAAATTTAGGTCTAGGGTTTTCAAGAAGGCACGAGCAGCGTCCGGAGTGGACGCCACGGCCATACTACAAGTGCCCATTTTGAGGTACATGACAGGTCCATATTTTTTGGCCATTTTGGCTAGTGCAACATGGGGCATGTTGCCTAGGCTGGGAAGGGCACCAATGAGCGGCAACCCTCTTGGGCCGGGTGGGAGCTGGCGGGAGGGCTTTGAGAGGAGGGAACGGATGAAGAAGTGGGTGAGGAGGAAGAGGAGAGCCGCTGCGGCGAGCTCGCGGAGGAGGACTGTGTCGAGGGCCATTAAGGTGGTGCGTGCAATAATGCAAGTGTGTGTGAGACACCAGGATGTTATGTTGTGGTTGGAAGCATTCATTTGGATAATATATAAAGGGTTGAGAGGGAAGCTGGTGGATAGTGCACGTGCGTTACCTACTCACACTTGCCAGCTTCGTTTGGTAGAATTTTCTAAAGGTAATAAAATTATATGAGTTGTTCATATTATGACTGAAAAAGTAACTCTATGGTTCTTAAAATTTTGTTATATTTGAGAAGTTAACGTAAAAAGATTATGTGTACTTTTAAAAATATATTAAACTTTTAAAAACATATTGTACAGTGAATATGTATTTTTGAAAATTTTAAAATGGATAAATATGTTATATATATATATATATATTAAAAGGCTTTCGAATTGGAGGTCTCCCACCTATTCCAGTCTCAAGATATGAGTGAGATTTAAACCCCAAACTTGCGTATTAGGAGGATTTTGAACCTACACTTGGTAACATGGATATGGTTCATTCAAACATCCAAGATCTATTCTACGTATTGTTAAGGGGACAAATAATTAATGCATTGTCCACTTTTAAAATTATTATGTTATCCTTTTTAAATTGGACCATTATTTTGGGACGACCAAAAAAAAGAAAATATATAGACAATTATATTGGGATGGAAGGAGTAAATGCATGACGATGGTTAGGTGGAGCCTTATAAATCTTAACTTCGCGGATTGGTATATTAGGCACTTGTTTTATTATTGTAGTGCATGAGGACATGGTATTTATTTATTATGATATCTCAATATTGTGTGCTGTTTTCTGAATATAAATAAATCTCTGAAGCTCATGGACGTAGCCTTAGTCTTAAGTGAATCACATAAAATCTGTATTCTTGTATGTGTATGATCTATTTTTCTATTAATTTTTTACAACATAAGATCCCTTAAAAGTAGTCATTTTTTTTATAAAAAAAGAAGAAGGGAAACAGTAGTTATTTATTTATTTTTTTTTTGAAACAAGTGACCCTACATGTTCTCACTTCTCTCATGCAAGCACATGACAGATTTAATTCATTCCCCACACATTGAAAATGATATGGTACCAATATTGGATTGAAAAACTTACGTCATGTCATATATATATATATATTTTTCAATATAAAATTAGTGTGTAAAAAAAAATAATAATAATGATAATTAAGTGATCAAATTTGAAGAGAACTATTTTTCAACAACTGATTATCAGTCTAAATTTACTTTTTCCCGCTTTAGTTGATCACTAATAATTATTTCAAAAAAAAGTTTGCTCTCCTGTCGGACCTAAAACAAAAAATAAATAAATAAATAAAAAAGTCTATCACTCTACTTCTTGAATCTAAATATCGAAAGAAGTAGAGTATTTCTAGCTTCTTCTTTTTTTAGTGTACTAATGTCAGTTTTGTTTTCAATGATAATTAAGTTTTGCACAATTAATTAATTGTACTTGATTAGGCTGTGAGAATTATCTAACAGTCCAAACCAGCCTTAAATTTTTGGACTGTTAAATGAAATGAATGATTTTGGGCGAGTGATTGCACAGCCGCCCCCACCCGATCGTATAGAAATGATTAATTTGTACTACTTACCTAATGTGATTATTACTAATAGACTTATAGCAAAGTTTTTTTAATTATTACCAACAGACAATAACCATGTGTAAATCTAAAACAATGATTGATTGCAACAAACTACGTATTATTACTTTATCATGATTAGTGGATTATAATTCTCACAAATAAAGGGACAAATTTTATTGAAGCAAATTCTGACACGATTATAATAATATTAATATTCTTGATATCATGCAAACGTTAATTTTTTACTCATAAAAATTTATGTCTAAAATTACGATACACAAATTAATATAAAGTAGGAGTAACTTAATTTGCTGATGGTTATACACGAAAATAGCAAGATAATAAACGTTACACATGAAATAGAGACCCCAGTATATTATTAGTGATACAGGTGGCTATTACATTATTGTTTGGCTTTTCTTTAATTTCTTTTCTCTTTTTCTTCCAATTCTCTTCCAGAATGCGAAACTTTAGGGTTTGAACTTTGAACTTTCAAATGCCTTGTATTATATATAACTGAAAATTTTTGAGTTTGGTGGACTCAATCTATGTATCTGATCACTTGCTCTAACATTCGCACGAAATTAATTTTTTATCGTTTCTTTGGTCTTTCACGGGAATGACCAATTCCATTTTTTTGACGCAAAAGTCTAGTGGTGTGGTAGTGCAATGACGTTACTCAATGACAAGAAAGTCTGATTTCAGGCAAAGGTGTTGACACGGATTAAAAAAAGTAAGTACTTAAAATCTTGGAGAGGATTTTTTTATTTTTTTTAATTATATTTTTTACTTAAATAATGGGTGTATTATGAAATGATACACATATTTTAAAGAAAAAGAATAAAAAAAGTGCGTACATTATTCAATTAGGAGTCAATGAGCGATAGTTACAAAACATAAAAAATTAGGAGTGATATGACAAAACTTAGCGAATTATATTATGTTTACTTATTTACTTAAATAGTTTGCAAATTATTAATTGAAACAACAAAGCTTAGGGGCGCACATATAGTCCAGTTTGAATTGATTTCAACGTGAAACAGTACAAATTAAAACCAATTCAAATCCTATAAATCATTGAAATAGTGCCAAATCTAACAATGACAAGCCTGTGTCTGAATTGGTTACAGTATTCTAACCTCTTTATAATTCTAACTCTTGCATTTAGATTCTAGTCTATTTTAAAACTAATTCAACCCGTATAAGCCACTACATCATCTAATATATATATATATTAATCCCTTATTCTTGAAAAGTTGAGCAAAAACACCTCTTAAATTACTTTTTGCAGATATCTGATATTAAGTAATATTATAATGCTTGTTTTTCTCTTTTATTCTTCTGAAAATATTCAAGGGAGTGTGAATGCTAACAATCTCATAGTAGATGGGTATTTTATCTCACCTTTCAAAAAAAAAAAAAAAAATCTCTATATATTTTCCCTAACAATGTACTCTCTCTCTCTCTCTCTTTGAGTTATATGTTTTATATTTTTTTGAACTTAATGCGACTTATAAGTTAAAAAGTCCTAATACATGTATTTATTTTATTTGGTCAAATAAAGATTAAAAAAATATCTCAAAAATATATATTTGTTTTTATAGTTGTTAAATTAATATACAATATATCATATGGAATAAAAAACTGTTCTTTCTATAATTATAAGAAAAAAAAAATTATTCCCCATTAAAATTCAATATAATTATCATTTTTCATTAAATAAATAATTAAAAAATTAAATTAAAGATATAGATATATAATATGGGTCAAGTGCAAAACACACCCATGATGTATACTTTTGATAGCACTTTGCCCCCTATTTTAAAAAGTGTGTATAAAACACCTGTATGCTGCATTTGGTGTGCAGGACTGGAATGGAATGGAATGGAATGTTTATTCCTTCCAACCATTCATTTATTTGGTATACAATTTAAAATGGAAATGACCATTTCATTGGAATGAAAATCCATTCCATAACTAAACCTATGGAAGGCGCGCCATTCCATTCCCAAGTAATTTTTTTTAAAAAAATCAACTTCTCAAAAAATACTCATGTTCCAAGTTCAAAAATTACCACCATCTTTTACCACAAACCACCTCCACTTTTCACCACCACCACCGCCTTCCACCACCACCACTCATCGTTTTCTACTACCGCCACCGCATTTCATCAATGACTCTGCTTTCATTTGCCCCAACCACCGTCTTTCACCACCACTGCCGGCACAACCTTTCACCACTACCACCACTATCTTACACCACTGTCGCCACCTTCAACCACCACCACTGCCACCATCGCCTTTCGCCACCACCTTTCACTACCACCACCATCTTCTACCACTGCCGCTACCATTACCACCGCTATCGCTTTCTACCACCATTACCACCACTGCCACCGCCACCGTCATATACCACCACCACTATCGCTGCCGCCTTCCACTACTATTATCACTACTGCCACGACCTTTCACCACTGCCACCGTTTTACACAGCCACCACTGCCTTCCGCCACCACCTTTCACCACTACCACCGCCATCGCCTTCCACCACCTTATACCACCACTACCGCCACCGCCACCGCCACCGCCTTTTACCGCCATTACCTCCACCACCTTTCACCACCTTCCACCTCTGCCGCCGCCGCCGCCGCCACCGCCTTCCACCACCACCGCCGCCGCCACCACCTTCCACCACCGCCACCACTAACGCCTTCCACCACCGCCACTTCCACTGCCTTCCACCATCACCACAGTCACCTCCATTGGCTTCCACCACTGCCACCTACACCACTATCTCTTTCCACCACCATCAACACTTTTGCCACCGCCTTCCACCATTGCTGCCTTTCACCAACACCGCCGCTTTCCACCATTGCCACCGCTGCCGCCTTCCAACACCACCACCTACACCATTACCACTTTCCACCACTACCACCATTAATTTTTAAAAAATTATACAAGAACGTCATTTTATTAATTTAATTTATTTTTTACTAACAGGGATATTTTGGAGAACTTAATTTGAAATATATTCCATTCTAAATTTAAAATCGGTCTAACCAAACACTAGAATGATTTTTATCATTCCATTTCTAAACGTTTCATATTTACAGCCAAATAATAGAATAAGAATAGTCATTCCATTTCATTCTCATTCTCATTCCATTCCCACTTGTATTCCAATTCATTCCTACACACCAAACGCAGCATTAATGTTTTAACATTGTGCTGAAAGACCCCTCAAAATACTTTTTGCATAAATTGAACCTAGTAATGCCTATTCTACCCTTTTACTCTTTCGAAAATACCTATATCAAACATTACTCTTCCAAAAATGTTCGGTAAGCTTCGTTAATTCTGACGAGGAACTCCAGTAAACTGTCCAGTGAGTTCAATTGTTTTTTTCCTGTGTTTTTAGAGCTGTTTCACTAAACTAATTGCAGAAACAGTGTGGTAATTTGGTGTGTGTGT